AATCCCATAAGCTAAAGCTCTGAATGACTAAGTAATATATAGCTCCTTTTTCTGCAAGCCTGAACCTCTCCATCATGTTTTATTAACAACTAACATGCAAGTAAGTTGTGTCACCTGCACACATCTCTTTTACAGCTAGATACTGAATGAAACTTCATCTGAAAATCAGCTGAGGAAGAAAACAATCAAGGACTACTCTGAGGCAACTGAAATTAAAGAGAGATTTATAAAGCAGTAAGGGGCAAAGAACAAAAAAGACCCATTCCCAGTGTAAAGTCTAGAACAATCATCTGACAAGCCGCCAAAGTGCCCAAATCCCCCGCCCACAGCAACACAACAGCGACTGACAAAGTAATTGGTGCACAAACTAAACCAAAGGCTAATGCTTCCCCCAACAGAGGAAAAAAAGATCTTTATATTTAAAAACACACACATACATTAAAAATGAAGCTAATGAGAGCTCTGATTTTAGGAAAACTTGTCTATCCATCTATCTGTTAGAAAACCCACATACAAACAAATCAGTATTAGAGCATCTATTGATACTTCTTCACTCACTACTGAAAAGGAGGGGAAAAAACCTTATTAAAAAAATTAACTGTTTTATCAGCTTCTTACATAAAAACCCAAGAGCCTAGGATCTACTCAAAGTTAAGGATAATTTCAGCAACTGCCACAAGCTACATCTTCTAACTCAAATCTCTCCGAACAAGCAAAATCATCTAAGGAGTAACACATATTGGTCTTCTGCGCAGGACTCATCCACACAATGAATTAATTAACTGTAGACATTTGATCCTTTTGCTAACAAACTTCTGAATGTTCTTGTTCTAGAATTAAGAGTACCTTGTTCCAATTTAGCTTAATCCACTTAATCCGTTTGGAGTGAGACACACTTATACCACAAGAGCTAGATGGAATAGAGATCCTTCATTCTGAAACTGCAATCCAAGACCCACTCATCTGGGTTTAGATTATAGCTTGCTGTGAATGGACTAGTGTTCGAAGGTGTCTGAAGATGACTAGTCTTCCTAGTCTGAAGACACCTCTTGCATTCACCAAGTTACGAGACAAAAAATTGCCATCCCTCTAAATTCTCCAGGGTCAGTCTGACATAGTGCTGAGAGCATCCAGTACACTGACAGGTCTTAGGGGTCTTTACAAAACCCAAGTAGTTCACTGATTACTGTTCATAGGCAAGCTATCAGGGTAGGAAACAACGGCAACACATCCCGTGTGAGCCTGGCGGTACCCTTACCCCACAAACGGGAGGCTCAGATTCCACAGCCTGCTGCCGGAACTGTCCACTGTGGAACTGTGTAGCTCAGCATGCCAGTTTGTGGGGTCAGAAAGAGGAAGCAACAAGTCGATTCCCTCTGTAGCCCACTTGTCAGTGGATTTAAATCAGGTATGGGGAAAGTCCAGACTTCTGGTGAACCACAGATGATTCCTAAACTTTGATTTATTAGGTAGCAGTAACCATAGGCAGTAGCTCAGTACAAGTACACTTAGAGCAGACAGAAATTAAGAAGTCCACCTCTCCTTCCATCACACACCCTCATGCTCCAATCTTCCCAAACCAGGACTCCACATCCATACTTTCTCTTTATTCTTCACCGTAAAAATTAGAACCCATTCCAATCCACTCACCTCCGTTCCTGTAAGATGACTGGCAGAAACTGCGTGTGGGGAGGTACCTGAACTGAAGGATAAGCATCTTCGCAGAGACAGTTATGGATTGTGAGTGACTGCTTGTGTATGTGACGTCACCCAGCGACTAGTACAACCATGTCCACACAAAAGATGACTTTCAACACACCACTCACAAGCAGTTTCTTTGGTAACCACCAAACTCTATCATACTTAATAAACTTAATTTACTTGGCAGAGTCAAAACCTAAATGTTTTGAAAAACCTGTTAATCACTAGAGGTGTATGTGCTAGGTACATATATTAAGAATAAAAGCTGGGAATCACCATCTGTCCTCCAGTTACAGCCTGTTATTTGGAAACCAGGTGGAGATGCCACTACATAAATTCAGGAAATTAGAACAGTGCTCTAGATGCATTTCACCGGAGCTTTGAATCAAGCACAGGTAGGAGTTTCAAAAACTCTTGTCTCCTCACATACCAAACAAACTACAAGACACCCAACATGGCACTTTAGATCAGGCACTACCATTTGGTAACGTGAAGTTCTGTCATGAAGGCTCCTAGACTGTAAGCACTCAAGTAAATTAATGGATCTAACCCACACAGTCACATAAAATCAATATAAAAATTAAGCCACGAATAAGTATGATGCTTCAGGTTTATAACTTGCCTTTTTTTGGGCAAACTTCCCATTGCAAGCTAGCCCTCCGGAGCTGCTATAATCTGCAAACTATCGTTTCTGTTCTAGCAATACTGTGTATTAATATAGTTTGCATGTCTTCTAAACAAACTGAAGCTGTTTAAGAAAAGCTACTTATGTCAGGATTTATACTGACATATATATACCTCAAAAAAGCAGTGAAAAAGGTTTACCACTTCAATGAAAGGACACAGTAAGTTCACTTGGTTCAATATAATGGCAAGTGCTATTTTTGAGTAACAACTGTGCAGGTGCACTTCAGAGTGACTGCCACACTTGCGAGTTACTCTACAAATAGGCAAGCCCTAGAGATATGATTTTATTGCTCTCCATTTGTGAATCTGAATTTAAACAGAAATTTTACAGATTGGTATCACTGAATAGAATTCTAACAACACTGCAACTTTCTATTTGAAAGCTGGGAGGCCCCAGTGTCTGTAAATAGTAGCCAACAGTTGCATTTTCCCTTAGTTTTGCAACTTAAAAAATTCAAACATCTGCAGTATTTTAGTTTTGACACTGTAATAGCTACACTTAGATGTAGATTAGATGGTCATGAAGTAGTCTTCTTTAAAGACTTACAAGGCTTCTCTTAAAACTTCTTTAGTTTTAATAGCGTAAGAAGAGTTGTAACCCAGGATTTGAGTTGCACGTTATGGGAATTACTACAGCAGGAACCCCTTGTTGCTAGCCAGGCTAGGGGCAAGTGGAGGAGTTCATTGAAATGTTAAACCCTATAACCTGGCCAAAAGAGACCAAGGTGGAGACTGTAATGCATACACCTTCAAATTGCTGCAAACCATGATTTGAGTTGCATGTTACAGGAATTTGTGTAGCAGGAACCACCTGAACCAATGGAGAACAAGCCTTACAAGAAGTAGTGTAAGTGAGAATGCAAGAAGAGGCATTATTTATAATATATGCTTATTCTAAGTCAAACCTGTAATTATTGTCTGAGGTGCATAATACAAGAAATTAACTGTACTGTTCTCTATAAATGAGCTTTCTATGATAATGATTTTTTTTCACAGGCAACTTCAAGTTCCCTTTCAGCTAATAAGAAACAGCAGTTTACATATGCAACTCTAAAAAAAGTCTTTGCTCTTTAGTGAATACATTGTCCTGAGTCTTCCTATTTTGGCGTAAATTAGTTTCTACTACAAGACTAGGGGAAGAGAGAATGTCAAGAAACATACAGTGAAATACATCACTTTTTTGCTACTAAAAAAGAGCAACATTTTTGTGTTTCAATTCAATACAAACAAGGTGGTCCTGAATACTGCAGTACCATAACAGCAGTACCCCTGAGATTATCTAATTTTATCACCTCAGCATTACTCGAGGGAAGTCAGTCGAAGTGCTATACAAGTAAACTGTTGATTAGCTCAGTCACACTAATCCCTGATGTAGCATGGCAACCAGAGTATAAAATTTGCATCATATTACTGGTGAAGAGCTATTACTGAAACTCTTCACATCTATGTACCCTTTATACTCGCACCTGAGACACACAGTTAATCATGTAAGGAGATTAGAACTGCACTTCTTTCAATTTAGTTAATTGGTATAGAATGATTTGACTACAAGATGCAGCTTAAAAATAAAGTTCCTGTTATAACACATGAATGAGCAGGACAAAATGTGTCTGTATGTACAAACACAAACACAGAGAGGTTTAGTAACCACTAGAAATAGAAAACAGATTGAGATTTCTGCCATGCTGTTGCCTCCTCCCTGATTGCTAAACTAGGCTCTATTTTAACCTCATCTGTTACAATGCCTGACAGCTGCAAACTACTTCTCATGGAATTTTCTACTTTCATCTTTCATTTGTATTTATCCATCTTCATTCCAGGTTGTTCACTATTCTTTACAATCTTATTACAATTATTTAATAGATCAGTATAGAGCTGAAGGGCACTAAAAGTAAGGTTTCCAGAAGTTCTATTACTGGCTTTCAGCTAAGATTATCTTCCTTGGCCTTGTATTTAACTCTCAGTATTTTTGACTGAACCCCGGTAGTTTTTTCAGAACTTCTAGACACTGTAGAAATGCAGTCATCTTGTCCTGATGTGGACACATGTGTCCATAAGTGGATTACCTGGTTTGAGCTTACACAGCGTAGCTGCCTGCAGCACTGTGCTCTGCACGTGGAAGGCATGCACTTGCATCAAAACCTGTCTTTCACTATCGTGTGCCTCCTTTCTAAACAGTTTTTGAGTATAGCTTCAGAAGAGGCATGAATCATACATAGTCTTCAAGTCTCCATGCCCTGCATTAGTCATGTTTCCTCACCTTATCCCTCCATTATTCCAGATAAGAGATGATTATAAACAGGAGCTGTCTTTGTGCATGCATCCAACAGAACTCCAAACTCCTGGAGAAAGCTAAATAGTTGGTTTCTATTTGGTCCCTAACAGTAAAGTGAAAAGTAGTATCAGATTTATTTGCATCCACTAGTTTTCAATCAAACCGGAATTCACGGGTAGCCTTCTGAAGCTGACCAATAAAAAGCGAGTTTTTCCTGTCTCAGAATAGCCTTGAAGCATCACCATGTCAAAACTGACAGCCTCACATCTGCCTCAACCACCTATCTGCAATATAGTTTTGTAGTGTTTAAGTAATTACATTTTTTTTAACAGCAAACCAGCAACTTTATTTCATCTGTTTTCTAGTGCATTTAAAAATAATAAAAAAAACATACAGAAAGGTTGGAAGAAACCCCCCCCCCGCTTATACTGTCATTGTAAGGTTCTGTGGCTAACCACATTTCTCACCTAATGGAATTTTAGCACTGTGGAGTCCAAACATTTGACTGTTTCATGTTACACTGGTTTTCAGTTCTGGTGTATGCTTTAAGCTTCCCACTTCCTTCTTTAGGACATTAAGCAAAGTTCTAGAACTATCCAAAATCTTCATGTAAGCAGCTTCAGTTTCAGCAAGAATTTTATCAAGCTCATTCCGTGAAGCTACCTTTTGGTCCAGGTTTTCACATACACACTCCAGTTGTTCACTCAGGACTTCGATTTCGTGCTGAAGCTTATTTTTTTCCTCTTCTGCTTGCTGAATTTGTTTGTTCAGCTCTTCTTTTTGCATACACAAGTCTTCAATGCATTTCACTAGCTCGTTATTATAACCCTGAAGAACAGCTCCCTGCTGAGTCATCCTCCACTTCCTTCCCTGAGCTCTGCCACTGCTCCCTGAAGTCCCCTCTCAGCAACAGCCTTCTGCACTCTAAAAAATAAAATAAAAAAAAATTCTTTAAGAGAGTCATAATGAATAATGCTACCCTAGCACAAATGCTCTGTTTAAGGTTAACATGCTAGTTCTGAATTGTGCCACATCTCTTCCCTCCTCCAAAAGGGAGCAGGACAAAACTCGGGATCAACACCATACTTTTACTGAAAACTGGTCTCTCCTAGGATACCCTCATAGCAAGGCTCAACTCTGGTATCAAAAATCTTCTATTATAATATTTCAATACCATTCTGAATAGATGATGCTCTGTAGCTCAGCCTTCGAGGGTTTGGTCGGAACCAACCATCTGAAAGCTCAGCAGTTACCACCACCACCACCAGCAAGCACTCAGCCTCTGATGAAGGGGATCTTCCTCACAAAACTTGAGTGCCAGGCATCCACTTCGGAGAGCCCGGGGCCACCTGAGGCGAGGCGAACCGATTTGCCGCTGTTGGCCACTCACGGGCGCCGGGACGACAATTTTAGGCGGGTGCCGAAACACGGACGAGCTTCTCGCTCGCCGGAGGCGGCCGTTAG